ATGCGAAACTGGAGAAGACAAATTCTGTTGAATTGCAGAGAAGAAATTAAAATAATGGAGAGAAGAAGGATTTGGAGCAACGGAGAGGAGAACGATGAGGACGGGATAAAGAAAGGGCCGTGGAAGGCGGAGGAAGACCAGGTTCTTCTCGACCATGTCAGCAAGTACGGCCCCCGAGACTGGAGCTCCATTCGATCCAACGGCCTTCTCCGCCGCACCGGAAAGTCCTGCCGCCTCCGCTGGGTCAACAAACTCCGCCCCAACTTGAAAAAGTAATTTATTCATTAATTTTGCCCCCCCTGCATTTTCGATTTTAGTTTTTCCCCCTGCGAAAATGAACGAGTTTTGAAATTACAGCGGGGTGAAGTTCTCGGCGGAGGAGGAGAGGACGGTGATTGATCTCCAGGCGCAATTTGGGAACAAATGGGCGAAAATTGCGACCTACTTGCCGGGGAGAACGGACAATGACGTGAAGAACTTTTGGAGCAGCCGCCGGAAGAGATTGGCCAGGGCGGCCGCCGCTTCCAAGCAGCCTCAGCAGCGGCGGAGAGACTGCACCGCCAGTGATAAGCCGCCCGCCGGAGTAGGCGGCGTAGTTCCGCCTCCCTCTCCTCTTCCACCATCTCACGACACGGTATGTATGCGTGCAAATTCTCCAACTTTATTTCCCTATTGTTGTCATCGAGTATAAAGTAAGAGCAAAAATAAAAAGTAATATCAAAATTATACTTTTTAGGGTGTCTTTTTTTGTTTTTTTGAAAAATTTTATGGAAAAGAGAAAGTATTTGATAAAATAATATAATTTTATTTTTGTAAAATGTTTAGTATTGTTTTAAAATAATTTACAAATTTTATATTTGAATCTGCCTCAATTTTTAAATAATTCTGATTAAAAATATCTTAAGTCAAATATTTTTCAAGGACAAAACTATTTTTTAAGGCCGGGACAATGCAAATCTTAAAGAAGGAAATATACTCCCTTCGTCCCAAAAATCCTTTTCTTTCTTTTTTACTTGTTCCATAAAATCTTTCACGTTTCTATTAAAAAACTACTTTTATCCTTACTAATTCTTAATCTATCTATTAGATTATACCTTTTTGCTAGTAATCTACACATCATATACTACTTTTAATCATAACATCAATGATATTTTTGGTAAGTCAACACAAAAATATCTCTTAGGGTCCGTCTGGTTTACGGAATTGATGGAATTGGAATTGAATTGGAATTGAAATTCCATTGGATTCAATTCCATAGAATTGAATTCTACCAATTCCTATTAATTTTTTACACTATCAATTCTAAATCCACATAATTTTTGTGCTACCAAACATCAGAATTGGAATTGAAGTTCTCAATTCTAATTTCATAATTTGAATTCTGTGTATCAAACGGGGCGTTACTAAAATTTTCAAAAAGACAAAATGAGAACATTTTTTAAGAAGTAAAAGAAGTAAAATTTTGAGTTTATACGGAGTATTTATCATTCCCATCATCCCAGTATCTTACCCACTATCCTAATTGCGGCATCGGGAGATGACATGCATTTTACGAAAAAAATAAATTGTACGTGCTTAACATTTAAAATGCTCCGTGTAGAGTAGCGCAGGGATAAAGTAAGAATATAGCTAGGAGTGTTTATTGTGTAATTGATATGAAGGTCTAGAATAGTGAAATTCTTTAATTTAAAATAGCATATTACGAAGTAATAAAATGAAAATCTTTTCGTGAAATTTACTTAAATAGTATTAAAATATAGTGATTTTTTTTATGTAATACCATATGTTTTTATTTTTCATTGTAGTACTACTGGTTATTGTTTAAGTAAATGTCTATCGCCACTGGACATTGGAAAATGACATATATTTTAGTAATCCGTTCTATTTAGTGTAAATTTCATAGTAATTTTTTCTTGGGGTGAGGGAGGGACAAAAAATATGAAACCGTAAACAAAGAGTACATTTTTAACTCAAAATTAAATTGAGTTAGTGCAGGCGGAGCTGGTAGTAACACCGAGCGAGTTGTTGGGACCCACAACGACAAGAGATGAAG